CGCCGGGGGGGGCGCCCTGGGGGCCCCAGCCTGCCCGACCCCGGAGCACTGGGGAGGGAGGCCACGTGGCCCCAGCCTGCCCGACCCCGGAGCACTGGGGAGAGAGGCCACGTGGCCTGCACCTTCCCGGCCCACAGGACAGGGCTCAGGGGCAGCTCACTCTGCCCACCTGTACTCTTACAGCAGGGGTTCTGGGGGCTGGTTGTGGCAGGGCCAGGCTGGTTGTTTGGGAAGAGCCGCCCCTCCCATCCCCTCACACACCCGCCGCCCATGCCTGGCAGGCTGGAGGATGCTGGCACTAGGCGGGATTAGCAGTCACAGTAGCAACTCCTCTGCTCTCGGTCCCGTCTCTGCTCGCGGTTGCTGGGGCGGCTACGCCACGACCCCGGTGCCCAGGACCAGCACCAGCAGCAGGCCCACGTGGCCGTAGGACAGTGACGAGGCCAGGGATGGTTGTGATGCGAAATCTAAACAAAGAAATGCGATGGGTCAGTCTCTGTAGGGGCACCCTGGGGCATGGCGGGGGCTGGGTTACCCGGGGGTTGAGCAAACAGGGCTGGGCCCGGGCAAGACTGTGCCAGCCCAGGCGCCGGTGTCTCCTTTGGGGAATTGGAGTCAGTTCCGCCCATGCGCCCTCCGTCCCGGGAGCTCGGTGCTTGAGGGCTCCGACACGGAACAGGAGGAGGAGAGGGCGGTGAGGGGGCTCAAACCTGCCCCTCAGTTCCTCCATTTCCATCCCCTTCTCTGCCGGATCCTCCCCACAAGCAGCTCATCAAGCAACACTACAGATGTGACCCCTTCCCCGGCCCTGCCATGCTGAGGTTCCAGACCCTCCCCCAGGCCGGAGCCTCCTCAGAGCAAAGACGGGGGCAGGAGCAGCTCGCCATGCTGGGCAGCCCTTCACTGGCGAGGGGGTTACCTGGACACAGCTCCATGGAGGAGACGGTCCTGGAGCTGTTACTCGCGGGGTGCCGGGCTGTGCAGGTGACGGCCGGGAGATCCTCGAAAGGTCTGAGAGAGAATTGTAGAACAGGTCCGGTGGATACGACCGCCCCGCGGGGGCCCCGAGTCCAGGTGTAGCCTACGTTTCCCCCTCGCTCCCTGGCAATGCAGCGCAGCGTGTAGTTACAGGCTCCGTGGGCACAGCGCACTGAGTCGCAAATGATCATAGTCTCCGGCACTTGCTCTGCACGGGAAGGACAGAAGCAGGATAAACCCCTGGCGCGACTTCCTAGCCACTGCAGGGAGCCACTGGAGGAAGCTGAGTTGAGGTAGCCCTCTGCATCTGGGGTGGGTGGAGCAACTGACCAGTCCAGAGACGCTTGATCAATGGACCAGTCAAAACTGGTCACATATCGTCAAAAATAGTGTAAAGCATGGATAGATCGGCACAGGAGCACCGGGAACAAAGCAAGGTAAGACCTCATGGTCTCCAGCAGGCTGAGCCTTAGAGATCTCTGCTCAATTTCCAAAACAAAACCCCCTCGTTACTGAACTGTACGCCAATGCATTGGGGTTTGCATTTTTATGAGTTAAAATAACTGAAGCTGGAAACAAGGAAAGACTAATGATTGCCATGACCTTTACCAGCGACATTCGGTCACCACTGACAAGGGAATGGTATCCAAGACCAAACAGTTACAAAAGCAAAGGAAAATGAAATGGAAATAAAAGAAGCAAAGGAATACAAACAAATAACAAAAGTTTGCAGGGCGGTAAATTAGAAAGGCCAAGGCACAAAACGAGCGCAAATTAGCTAGAGACAAAAAGGATAACAAGAAAATATTCAATAAATATATAAGAAGCAAAAGGAAGATCAAAGACAGGGTAGGCCATTGCTCAATGAAGAGGGCAAAACAATGAGGCTGTGTCTAGACTGCACCCCTTTTGCGGAAAAGGGATACAGATTAGACACAGCGCAATTGCAAATGAAGCGGGGATTTAAATCTCCCCCGCTTCATTTGCATGAACATGGCTGCACCTTTTTTCCGGCTCGGGGCTTTGCCGGCAAAAAGCGCCAGTCTAGACGGGGATCTTTCGGAAAATAAAGCCTTTTCCGAAAGGTCCCTTATTCCTCTTAAAATCAGGAATAAGGGACCTTTGTGAAAAGGCTTTAGTTTCTGAAAGATCCCCGTCTAGACTGGTGCTTTTTTCCGGCAAAGCCCCGAGCCAGAAAAAAGCGGCAGCCATGTTCATGCAAATGAAGCGGGGGAGATTTAAATCCCCGCTTCATTTGCAATTGCGCTGTGTCTAATCTGCATCCCTTTTCCACAAAAGGGGTGCAGTCTAGACACAGCCTGAAGGTTTTCACCAAGAATGTGGTGGAGACTGGGTGTTTATGTAACAAGTCTGGGACAGCAACAAGGCCTCCCTCTGAAGGGCCCTCTAAGACCTCTTGGTGGGCCGGTCCAGCCTCACCTAGCCCCGCCCACAGAAAGCTGAAGGGCGGGACTAGGAGTATAAGAGCTGAGAGCTCAGTCAGAGCCCAGTAGCCAAATAGGGCAGATGCTCGGCCCCAGCTCCTGCAGGGAAGGCCTCAACCGCGCTGCACCCGACAAGAGGACTAGGTTGGGCTTCCAGGACCCCTGCTAACCCCTGAGGCTTGGCCTGGGCTGCAGAGACCTCTGCCACACCCTGAAGACATACCAAGCTCCTGATGACTAGACCAGTCCACCCGGGCCCCTGCCTGAGCCAGAACCCATGGACACCGTGCCAGCACCTCCATCCCCAGCTGACCCCAAGGAGCAGAGCCTGAGCCTGGTAGGCCCCCAGGGGGCATTGGGAAGTGGCCCAGAGCCCCCTGGGGCAGCTAAGGAGATAGAGGTCAGGTGAGCAGCACGTTGTGGCTTGGATCCCCGCTGACCCACAGATCTAGTCAGTGCGCTATGGCTCAGATCCCCGCCAACCCAGTAGCTGCCATGCTGCCACTGTCAGGGCCCTGGGCTGGGACACAGCGGAGTGGGTGGGCCTGCATGCCCCCCGCCACCTCTTCCCTTGGGGGGCAGGTTTCCCCTGTGGCGCAAAAGCCCCTGTGCTTGTCGGCTCTCTGCTAGTGAGGAGGCCCAAGCCCTGCCCAGCTGGGACCCAGACGAAGCCCATTGAACTACTTATAGTAAACATTTGTTTGCCCCGCCTTGACCCAGGGCTGGGCCCTATAAACTGTAAACTATTGCACTGCTTGTGGAAAACTCATCTATCCGCCCCGCCTTGACCCAGGGCTGGGCCCTATAAACTGTAAACTATTGCACTGCTTGTGGAAAACTCATCTATCCGCCCCGCCTTGACCCAGGGCTGGGCCCTATAAACTGTAAACTATTGCACTGCTTGTGGAAAACTCATCTATCCGCCCCGCCTTGACCCAGGGCTGGGCCCTATAAACTGTAAACTATTGCACTGCTTGTGGAAAACTCATCTATCCGCCCCGCCTTGACCCAGGGCTGGGCCCTATAAACTGTAAACTATTGCACTGCTTGTGGAAAACTCATCTATCCGCCCCGCCTTGACCCAGGGCTGGGCCCTATAAACTGTAAACTATTGCACTGCTTGTGGAAAACTCATCTATCCGCCCCGCCTTGACCCAGGGCTGGGCCCTATAAACTGTAAACTATTGCACTGCTTGTGGAAAACTCATCTATCCGCCCCGCCTTGACCCAGGGCTGGGCCCTATAAACTGTAAACTATTGCACTGCTTGTGGAAAACTCATCTATCCGCCCCGCCTTGACCCAGGGCTGGGCCCTATAAACTGTAAACTATTGCACTGCTTGTGGAAAACTCATCTATCCGCCCCGCCTTGACCCAGGGCTGGGCCCTATAAACTGTAAACTATTGCACTGCTTGTGGAAAACTCATCTATCCGCCCCGCCTTGACCCAGGGCTGGGCCCTATAAACTGTAAACTATTGCACTGCTTGTGGAAAACTCATCTATCCGCCCCGCCTTGACCCAGGGCTGGGCCCTATAAACTGTAAACTATTGCACTGCTTGTGGAAAACTCATCTATCCGCCCCGCCTTGACCCAGGGCTGGGCCCTATAAACTGTAAACTATTGCACTGCTTGTGGAAAACTCATCTATCCGCCCCGCCTTGACCCAGGGCTGGGCCCTATAAACTGTAAACTATTGCACTGCTTGTGGAAAACTCATCTATCCGCCCCGCCTTGACCCAGGGCTGGGCCCTATAAACTGTAAACTATTGCACTGCTTGTGGAAAACTCATCTATCCGCCCCGCCTTGACCCAGGGCTGGGCCCTATAAACTGTAAACTATTGCACTGCTTGTGGAAAACTCATCTATCCGCCCCGCCTTGACCCAGGGCTGGGCCCTATAAACTGTAAACTATTGCACTGCTTGTGGAAAACTCATCTATCCGCCCCGCCTTGACCCAGGGCTGGGCCCTATAAACTGTAAACTATTGCACTGCTTGTGGAAAACTCATCTATCCGCCCCGCCTTGACCCAGGGCTGGGCCCTATAAACTGTAAACTATTGCACTGCTTGTGGAAAACTCATCTATCCGCCCCGCCTTGACCCAGGGCTGGGCCCTATAAACTGTAAACTATTACACTGCCTGTGGAAAACTCATCTATCCGCCCCGCCTTGACCCAGGGCTGGGCCCTATAAACTGTAAACTATTGCACTGCCTGTGGAAAACTCATCTATCCGCCCCGCCTTGACCCAGGCTGGGCCTTATACCCTCAGCCTAAGGCTAGGCCGATTTGTGTTGCACAAACTTGTTGGCAACTGTGGCACTGCAACTGCTCTCTGGCAGGGCACTCTAGGGAGTCAGCATGGCCCCCCAGCTGCGTTGACTCAAGTGTGGGGATTGAACTCCACAGTTTTGCATCAGGATGGGTTCATCCAGTCGCTGGAGATGCCCTGAGATCAAAAGTAGAACCAGAGTCACTGTAGGGCCGATTTGTGTTGCACAAACTTGTTGGCAACTGTGGCACTGCAACTGCTCTCTGGCAGGGCACTCTAGGGAGTCAGCATGGCCCCCCAGCTGCGTTGACTCAAGTGTGGGGATTGAACTCCACAGTTTTGCATCAGGATGGGTTCATCCAGTCGCTGGAGATGCCCTGAGATCAAAAGTAGAACCAGAGTCACTGTAGAAGTTGTCTTGGCCTGGGGCGTGGGGCTTCAGGGGGCGGGCGGGGCGGGGCAGGGCGGGGCTCCAGGAGG